TGAGGATTCAACTCACCGAGTACAGGCGATTGAGCTTGAGGATTCGCTCTATCGATTTCAGGCTACCGAGTTTGAGGATTCACTCGATAGAGGACAGGCGATTTGGTTTGAGGATTCACCAAGTCGATATAGAGAGCTAACGGCGAGCATCGAGGAATTTGCAAGCCAGTACAAGAATTACAGAGTGCATATAGTCAGTATCAGTGAGAGCGTGGATAAGTATCCAGTGAGCGCACTTACTTCAGAACGGAAACACATCGACAACAGCGATGTAGAGGGCAATGAGACATCTAAGACCCTTTTAGGCAGCGAAGAAAGCAGCCAGGACTCGAAGGACAAGAGTAACAAAGGCCAGGAGAGCCAGGCATCGGAATTACAGAGATCCGATGAGGAACAAGATTTCCAGAAGGCAAGTAAGACCTTCAGACACATCGCAAGAGCCAGAGCGATTGAGATAGACATAGGACATGTCAGCCCATTCCACAGTTCGATAGACATCGAAGATTTGAATAAGAGAACGTACAAGTTCGATGGAATGTATCAGGAAGAGGAGAGAGCAACTCCTTCATCAAACAAGAGCGGACTCGATAGTATAGCAACAGAAAAGCGTGAAACGCTTCAGGCAGGCTACAGAACGAAAGCCAGACATGCCACAGTACCTACAGACAGTAGAGATCAGAACTATCGATACAAGAGTGTAGAAGAAACGCTCAAGAGTCTAGACATACGATTGCATTCGCAGAAAGCGAAAGGAAAGTGCAAAGCGAAAGGAAAACGCAAAGCACAAGGAACGGAACGAAAACCGGAACTGCCAGGCATTCAATACGATTGTGAAATCGATTCAGACTATCCAAGCGAAACGGACATCGCATCAACAGAACAGTACTTTGAGGATAGCAAAAGTGAACGCAAATTGGAACTACAAGGATCAGTACTTGATCCAGAGGGCGAAAATCAAGCATACACCCACGAAATCGAGTGTTTAACCTCATACATGGCAGATATCGACTACGCATTGCACAGGAGCAATGTACAGGACTACTACAACGGATACGACACCCTAGCCAGGTCCAGGAATAAGAGAGAAAGCGAAATACCTGGATATATGCGGTCTCAAATGGAAATACCGAGTTTTTCAGGACATCAGAGTATCCCTCGCGAAAATAAAAGGAACAAACGATCCCATAGCGATACTTCGCGATTGAAAGCAGTCCCAGGCAAGGCAAACACTAGTGGTATTAGTGAGAACAAAGTCGACTCAGAGCGCAGCAAACTACGCAGTTCAAAGCCACATATCGAGCGCAGCAAGCATAAGAATAGCTCGAGCAGTAGTTCAAGAACGAACAATGGACACAGGCATACAGTGTAGAAAGGATTCTACAAGACTACGGATACGCATGGCACATGGAAAGGACTAGGAAACACGCATACAACCATCGTTTCAAGGAATCTAAGACGCTACAGGCGCAGGGCAACGCATACAAGGACACTTCAGAGACACTACTACCAATTCTTAGAGCCACAAGTCGAAACGACGCTCTTAAGAAATACAGGCTGTTCACAGACAACAGGAATGCGTACCAGGACATCAGGAAAGGACCTGAGAATGTTAGAAGATCGGAATATAACCAGCCAGATAGTATTATGGTTTACAAGGCGATGCAAAGAGTAAACTGCGCAAGCAGGACAATCTATCAAGCATTACTGGACTATAAAATACGACTACTCTTGGATACTGAGAAATATTTCAATCTAAACGATTCACACAGGAATTCTATTAAGTTAGAAGGCTACATCACGCATAGGAAGACAGAAATCGGCACATTGAGCAAGGCAAAGTGCATATACATCGAGGATAAGATGATACCGCTTCAGAGTAAGCATCAGGCATGGAAATACATCGACAGCGATAGAAAGACACAGACATACGCATACACAGTCGATTCTATTCAGTACAGGAAGAGATACAGGATTAGTATCGAGTACTACAAAGGAACTACGTCAGTTGACATCGGAACAGACATTTCCATCTTCAGGATTGAAGATACAGTCTATAATGAGTATGATCGAAGAACTTCGCATAGAACAACGTTCTATAAGGTACAATTGGATGTTACGCTACGAAACTATTCAGTTCATGACGAAGAATTGTTCAGAAACGTCAGCACCAGATCGGAATACAAGGATCTATGGTATACATTGTATCTACAGCAGAACATAAGGTATTACATCGCGAAATACACCTTCAGACAGTCAGGATTCATTGGAATAGACTCAGGACACTCTATCAGACGTATTATGAGCATCACAGGCACTCAAATGGATGCGCTAGCGCGCATATACTCAGGATACATAGTAAGGATCGCGTTATTCAAGCTACAGGATGACAATTACGATCTACAGGATGTAAAACCGCTACGATCTATGCAACATAATGATAGTAAGACACTATTGAGATCAGGAACGGATACGCATCGTATGGAACGAAGTACAGAAGTTCAGAGGGCGACTTCAAGCCAGAGAACAGGTTCGGAACCCGGACAATCCGCTCAATCCGCTCAATCCGCTCAAACGGATTATCACACCGCTTCAAGGGAAAGCGAAGGCAATACGCATACAGCCAGCGAATATCAGAGCGATAGTGAATTAGCAATGATTGAACAGACTATTCAAGCATTCAGGCATGATACTTCAATGATACAGAAGGAAACAGAGCATCAGGACGCTCAAGGACATCTATTGAACAACGATACAGTTCAATCTACTCTAGGAATGAGTAGTTACGATCAGTTTGAAGTACGAAAACACGCAGAAGACCTCTCCAGACACTACAGATATGTTTCAGGACAGTACCAGACGTTTTACGCCGAAAATGAAGTCATATTTCGACGAGAGGGCGAGAGGCACACGCATTGCATTGCATACACGCTCTTTGAGCATACAATCTACATGTTTGAACGTACAATTTTCTTACTTGAGATACTACGAAACGATTTCGCGAAGGACTTCGCAGGACCAGACAGTATCAGTACTACAGGACACAGGACACACGATAGGTACATAAGGAAAGAATACATCGGAACAAGGACAAGGACACAGAAAGACAGGAAGTCAGCGCTAGAGCGCATTGATCCACACATGGATTTGCCAAATGAACAGAGAATTGGCAGCATACACTCAGGACTTCAGGCAGCGCTATTGCGCATACAGACAGGACATTTCATTGAGACATACATGGAACAACGCAGCATACAGACAGTTACGGCACTCAGGAAAGTAGAGAACGCTACTTGGACATTTTGTGATAGAACATCGCACCATGAGACATTGAAAGTATACTCAGACGATTCAGGAATCGAATCAGTCGACTTACGAAGGCACGAACGAGTCGAGACACAAGGAAACAGTATGAGAATACAGCAGGACATTCATCGCGCACTGAGATACCGCGCATATACTCACATATCTAGTGATATTAGGCTCATACATCAGGATCTCATTGAATTCAAGGACGGATATTACACTCTAGGTTGCACTCCGCAATTAGTATTTGGACATCGGGCTCAACAGGATATCCAGTTTTGCATCACAGTTGGTTATTGCACGCAAAAGAGCACACATTTGGAGATATTCTATCAATACGAGCGCAAGGCACTACATTCGCAGGAACTAGTCTATTGGAAAAATCGAGGACATAGCAGAGGAATTTTGGAATACATCTCCGCTATCTATTATTGCATGACTATTCTACAGGAACAAGAATTCGCGCAAGGTCAGCTAGAAGCCGCAACGCTAATACATTCTATTGAGGAAGAAGGCTATAGCTTTGTCGATCAGGGATTTACCTCCGCGCTTCCCGAAGACGCGGGAGAAGAGAATATTTGCAATTACCACGCCGCCGGAATTTCCACTTCCGTACATATCGATCTACACCGCGCGTCTCAGAATACTCAAGAGCCGAAACGCCATATCTCCTCAGGAACTCCACCGATTCCCTTCGAAAAGTGTCGTATCGATAGCGACAATCAAGAGGCAACTTTTCTACTAATTGACTATACGGTAATATTGACTACGTTTAATTCTATTAACGTTTTATCTAGTTTCACATGGTTTGGAACCATGCTACCCACCGTCCGGAACGCCACCACCGTCTCAATACTCACCGGATCGACTTCGGATCAGTTCAGAGAGGCAGTAATACATCACGAGGATGTTTCCCATACGCATGGGCAAGATATTTTATTATTTACTTGTTACTAACTGTTACTTTAAGTAAGTTTTCCGCCTTTTCTACTGATTTTTAGCATTTAGGACTAAATGCTAGAGGGCGAGTGTAAGGATTTGATTTACTGGTTCGTATTTTATTATCACTACATTGCTGATCGCGTCAGATCATTGCGCAGTGGGACCCACAAGCGCATATATTCTCATTGTAGTTAGTTACACTTCCTCCTCATGTATCTACACGTGTACTACCCTATAAAAGACAGTATCGACCGCTGGGTAAAGGGGATTCTTTTCCCCTGACCCCTCGCTCGAGTACTAGGGTTATCCCAGTCAGTAGTGAGTGACTAAGGGCGATTAGAATTCTCTTTGTGAGACAGTGAGTTTCTTAACAGTGTT